AGTCTCCAAAATCTTGCATCTATTGCACCTCACTTGTGCTAGACAAAGCAATCTTACCAATATAAAACCTGATTGTTCCCTCATCACAAAAGCCAAGATAGGGGGAAATGAATGATAATTCTTTGCTTTGCATTGGATGCGACAATACGTGGCACAAAACGATACGTTGGGTCTCATTGAATTAACTCGTCAATCCTTGGATAATAAAGCCAAAGCTATCTTTTGTCAGTTGTTAAAATGCCACTTAGCCTCAATGTGGAACTTTAAAGACATGGTATTTAAGTGCCAAAAAGATTTGGTCCTCTTGCCTTTGAGAAAGATACGAACTTAATGCATGTAGTCGGTTTGATGAGTTTAGCAATCACACCTCGTCTATGGCGTTTTGAAAGTGGCAAATTGTTTGACCTCTTCAACTTAGGTCATCGCAGCAAACGGTGAGCACAAAGCTTCAAGTGCATTGAAAGAGGCCGCCAATGTGATCGCCTCCTCCCCACTGGCGTTGCAGCTGCGATATCTGCAAACCCTGTGTGCTATTTCTGCAGAGAAGAATTCCACAATCATCTTCCCTCTTCCCATCGACATTTTGCACAGCAGTGCCGCTACTGTGAACGCTAAACTCGGCTCCTCAACCATCTCGCTGAATGAGGGAGATTCACAAAGTCGGAGGAGGAAGGCAATGGTGAGACAGTGGTTGCCTTCACTCAGTCCCGATCACTCCGTCACACCAAACCCACGTGCTCTCCTACCGGGCATGGGAGAACCAGATCCCCTAATCCCTCAGCCAGTGCCACCACAACTACCAGAGAGTCAACGAAGGCGCTATGAGGCTGCTGCACTTCTGACTGTCACCGGAGCAGCTAAGAAAGCCACTGTCACTACTGCCAGTCCTCTACCTCCGGCCGCCGCCGTCGAAACGTCAGCACGTGACTCTCAACCACCACCACAGTTGCCGCGCCCCCAGCTTGGAGTGGCTCACGAGGACTTTGACGACACTTGCAGTGATTCTGTGTAACGTCGCACGCTCATGCTAACTCCTTGCTCGATTTGCACATTCTCTTCTTGCATCAAATCCAACTGCACCGACGATGCTCTCCTAATCACATATTGTATAGTCGATTTACCAGT